TCTCCCCCCCCCTCCCCCCCCCCCCCCCCCTGACACCCCTGTACCCACAATGCTGCGAGATAGGAGAGCCAGTAAGACCCCCAACCCTAAGCTTCCCCTCCCCCTTCCTCCCTTTGCCCCCCCCTTCTAGCACCCTCCTCCCAGGTTTCCCCCTTTCCCTCTCCCACCCTCATTCTCCCCCTTCCCCCACCCCAGTTATGTGAAATAAAGACTTTTGGGGGGGCCACACAGCTGTTTTTATTGTAGATCAGGAAGGGAGTTAGGGAGGGGAAAGGGGAAGGAGGTGGGGGAGGAATGTAAGGCCCCAGGCCCCAGTGGGGCACGCCAGGGGGACTTCAGTCCTTGTCCACAAGGAATCTCTCCCACAGGGCTTCCCAGCTGCAGACAGCCCCCTGAAAGGCCTCCCAGCTGGCAGCCGTGCAGGGCTGTGCGTACTGGCCAGCCAGGCAGTCAGCCTCTGCCATCTAGGCTGGCAGGAAAGCCTCCCCCTTCCTCTTGCACAAATTGTGGAACACACAGCACACTGCCACCACGTACGGAATATTGTGCAGGGAGAGGCTGAGGTGGGTGAGGAGGCATCTAAACTGTGCTTTCAGTAAGTCGAAGGCCCCCTCGACCACTATGCGGGCCCTGCTGAGCCTGACATTGAAGGCCTGCCGGGAGAGGCTGAGATGTCCTGTATAGGGCTTCATGAGCCAGGGCTGGAGGGGGTAGGCCCCATCCCCCAGCAGGCACACTGGCATGTCCACGTCCCTGACCCTTATGTGGCGGTCAGGAAAAAAAGTCCCAGCATGCAGCTTCTGGCAAACAGAGGAGTTGCGGTACACCCATGCATCATGTGCCTTGCCAGACCAGCCCACATTGATGTCTGTGAACTGGCTCCAGTGGTCAGACATGGCCTGCGGGATCACAGAGAAGTACCCCTTGCGGTTAATGTAGAGGGAGGCTTGGGGTATGTCTACACTACCCCCCCTAGTTCGAACTGAGGGGGAGGGGTAATGTAGTCATATGGAGTTGCAAATGAAGCCCGGGATTTGAATTTCCCAGGCTTCATTTGCACGATCCCGGCTGGCGCCATTTTTAAATGCTGGCTAGTTCGGACCCTATGCCGCGCGGCTACACGTGGCACGGACTAGCTAGTTCGGATTAGGAAGCCTAATCCGAACTAGCTAGTCCGTGCCACGTGTAGCTGCGTGGCACGGGCTCCGAACTAGCCGGCATTTAAAAATGGCACCGGCCGGCTTTATGCAAATGAAGCCCAGGAAATTCAAATCCCAGGCTTCATTTGCAACTCTGTATGACTACATTACCCCCCCTAGTTCAAACTAGGGGGGTAGTGTAGACATACCCTTGGTGTTCCGTGGCATGGATGGGGATGTGCGTTCCATCGATTGTCGTCCCCCCCAGCAGTTGGGGAAGCCGAGGGTGCCAAACCCTTGGATGATCACGTCCAGGTCAGTGAGGTGGACGACTCTGTGGAGCAGCACCCTGTTGATAGCCTTGACCACCTGCAGAGAGACACACAAAACCGAGGGTCACTGGGGCGCCAGGGTGGCTGGGAGTGTTTTTTCCCCACCACTGCCCCGTGTCCCACTCACAGGAGCAACCGCGGGTGGTCAGTAGCCCGGCCGGGATGGACCAACCCCTCCCAGGGAGGGTGCTTACACCACCTCCCCCCGTTTTCCCTGGGGCAGCCTACGTTCTCCTTGCAGCCCCCCATCCTGGCCCAGTGGCCAGTGAGTGCCGTACCTGCATGAGACATGGCATGCAGGATCACAGAGAAGTACCCCTTGCGGTTAATGTAGAGGGAGGCTTGGTGTTCCGTGGTGCATCTCCCCACACCGAACTGGTTCCCGATGGATCGGTAGCTATACAGCGTGGAGAGCTTCCAGAGGGCAATGGCTACCTGCTTGTGGAAGGGAATGGTGGGCCTCATGCGTGTGTCCTGTCACTGCAGAGCAGGGGAGAGCCACTCGCAGAGCTCGAGAAAGGGGTCCTTCTTCATCCTGAAGTTCTGGGTCCACTGTCTGTCTCCCCAGTGCTCCAGGACGATGTGGTCCCACCAGTTGCTGCTGGTGTCCAGACGCCAGATGCGGCGGGGCACGCTGGCGTCCAGGTGCCGCTCCTCCAGGGCCCCCAGCAGGGGCAGGAGGAGGGCCAGGGGGCTGGCCTGGAGCAGAAGGTGCCAGGCAGCCTTCAGCAATTGCTGCCAGGCTTGCAGCAAGACATTCAACATGAGCACCAGAGTGCCCAGCTCTGGCTTTATGTGCCAAGTGCTGCGGTGTCCCAAAGGAGAGCAACCGAAGCAGACGGAGAGAAAAACACTTTGCTGTCCCTCAGCGAGGTAGGCAAGCAAGTGGGAAAGCTGAGAACTGGGCCAAAATGATGCTCATAGCACCTGCCGAGGGTCACAGCTTAAGTGTGATTGCATATATATGTAAATATATATGCAAATATATGCCCATGTTTTATACTGATGTGCATGAATATAAAGATTAAGGCAACACTGTACAAGACACGGGCCCCATTTAAGTCAGTTCAGCTGATATTAATAAAATACAATATTGACTTGATTTCCACCCATATGACAGTTCTTTTAATGAGCAATGACAGTCCAGGAATTTAACTACTAAAACATATATCAACAGAAGGCCATTACATTGACTACTTTTTTGTTTTGGCTGTGTGTTGCGCCCCTCATAAATCCAAACGGCACTGCGAGCCGCAAACAAAAGTGCTGCATGCAGCCCACGAGACACATGTTGAGTATACCAGCTCTAAGATATCCAAAACTAGTCATATTAAAAAAATAAGGCTATTTTGGGCTGCTAGTAAGGATATCCAACCTATTGCCTCCAGTTAAAGGGAAAAGCATAGGGAAAAGCATAGAATATTTAAAGAAAACTTAGGTTGATAGACCTCTGTCTGGCAAGGAGCCACTTTATCAATAGCAGATGGTTTGAAATCCCTATTTATTTATTGTTTTGTTACTATACTCCCCCTTCTCTTTAGTTTATTTGTATGGTCTCTATTTCTTTGTTTCTGTCTGCTGTATAATTAATTTGTCTGGGTGTAAACCAAATTAGGTGGTGGAATATAATTGGTTAGATAATCATGTAACAAGATGTTAAGACTGGTTAATTAAATGTCAATAAAATGATTGGTTAAGATATATTTGAAAATATTACTATATACATTGGGGGAAAACAGGAAGTAAGTTGGAAAAAAGAGCAAAAGGAGGAGAGAAGGAAACTGAATTCATTCTTGCTAGAAGCTAACCCCAATAAACATTAAATTGCATCTTTTGACTTTGGCTATTGCTGTTCTCTGTTCTCATGTCAATGGAACTAAGCCAATTTATACCAACTGAGGATCCTGGTCCCTGTTTTTGATACTCCTTGTTCTGTAGTTTTTCATTGGTTTACAATTATTTTTTTCTAGCTCTGATGGCATGGAAACTTGTCAACTTTTTAAAAATTGCCACCCAAACAGGACTAAACAGAACAGCTTCTGGATTTGGGGCATATTATTGCTTATCTAATTTCATTGGCCACATAGTTTAGAAATGATATAAAAGGAGCACTACTGAATCCAAACTGAGCCACAAATCACAGTTGGGTTTTGCTTTTGTTTCATTAAAAATTTAATTGGAACCAAACAGTGCAGTCACCGAGCTCATCAGCATTTCTCACTCCTTTTTCTAACAAATCAGATGTTCAGACATAGGCAAATTAGTGAAGAGAATGTTTGCACTTACCCTTATTGCAGGAAATGATTATTTGATAAACAACGAAGCTCAGTCAGGAAGGAACAACAAACACTTGGTGTCAGATTGAATGGGGTGCTCATTATATCTTGTTCACTGGGTGGTCCAGGAATAGCTGCATCAGTAGATTCTCCTGAGGAACTGAAAAGCAAACAACAGCCACCAACTGTGTAAGTCACGGGTTGGGGAACCTAAAGCCCATGGGCTGGATGAGGCCCCTAGCTTGCCTGAACCCAGTCCCCAAGGCTTGGGGCTGCCCCACCCCCACCATTGGGGAGCATATGCTGGTCCTCTAGGGGGCTGGAGCACACAAAATCTACTAGCCTTGGCCCCCCTAGGCTGTGGTATGCAAGGGGAATGTGGAGAATGTCTTTTTCCTTCTCAGTCAGGGGCCACGTCAATGAGGGTGGATTTTTGTTTGTTTGTTTGTTTGTTTGTTTGGGAGGGAGGGAGGTTTTTTGCTTCTCACTTGTGTGTGGCCCCCGACTGATATTTCTGTGGATCAGTGGACCCAAACCAAAAAAAAAAAAAAAAAAAATCCCACCTCTGGTTTAAGAGATCTAAGTGAAACTCATAGTAATAAGCACACATGGCATTTTACCTCAACCAACTGTTCTAAAGCATCTAGCTTAAATACATGGAGAAAAGAGACCTTTCTTTGAGAAGATGTTAAAAGAGACTATCAAACCAGAAAATGCTTGCTGTGTTTAGGGTAGAGAAGTTTACTCCTTTTGTGCAGTAATGATTGTTTTTCGAGATGTGTCCCCCCGTGGGTGCTCCACAATTGGTGTTGGGCTCGTACTGGCACCACAGATCAGAGACTAACAGCAGTGATCAGGTGGGCTGCACATGTGTGAACAGAGAGTGGCATTCCCGCCTTTGAAGTTCCACACGCTGCCTGTTTCTCCTCTGTTTCCTCTTTGATGCCTTCTTGGGCTGCTATTATTGACCTAAGAAGTGAGGAGGAAGGCGGGTAGTGGAGCACCCACAGGGACACACATCTCAAAGAACAATCGTTATTGCATGAAGTGAGTAACTTCTCTTTCTTCTTCGAGTGATGTCCCCGTAGGTGTTCCACAGTTTGACTACATCTAGACTGCAAGCCTCTTTCAAAAAAGTGCGTCTAGGCTACATCCAGTACTTTTGAAAAAGCAAGCCGCTTTTTTGCAAGAGAGCACCCAGTCAGTCTGGATGCTCTCTTTCGAAAAAGCACAGTTTGCATTACATAGCGCCTTTTTTCGAAAGAGCACTTTTGAAAAAAAAGGCTTTATTCCTCATAAAACAAGGTTTTCTGCGGTCAAAAAAACTGCTGTGTTCTGGTAAGTCATGGTAAGTCTTGTGGGTCATTTGTCTCCTGCTATGCAACAGAACATTTTTCACATGTTGGGAGCACTGTTGCTTCACTTCCAAGAACCAGATAGGTACTATGCCGTCAGGTGTAGCGTTTGTGTCTGGGGTGGACTATTGAACCCTGGTTCTGGATGAGCAAATCTGGGTGGTTTGAAAGTGGGTAGGGAGGTCATAGAGACAGGTGATAAAGATATATGTGAACCATGTCTGTTGGGGGCAGGCCGGGGCTATCAAGATCACTCGGGTCCCATCTTTCTGTATCTTTTGGAGGACTCTGGGAATGAAAGGAATGGGTGGGAAGGTGTATAATAGGTCCCCCCCCCCCAGTGAGAAGCATGGCATCACCAAGGAAGCCATGTCCTATGCCCGTTTGTGAGTAGTACTGGGGGTATTTAAAGTTCTGCCTGGTGGCAAAGAGATCTACCTGTGTTTGCCCCCATTGGTGGAACAGCTTGTGGGTGATCTGATTGTGTAGTTCCCACTTGTGTTCTGCGAGGAAGTTACAGCTGAGGGTATCTGCTATAATGTTCTTGTCTCCAGGCAGGTATTCTGCTGAAATGGTAATATTGTGGTTAATGCAACATTTCCAAAGCCTGATCTCCTCTACACATAGCAACTGGGATCTCGCACCCCTTTGGCGATTGATGAGAAATATAGTTGTCATAGTGTCAGTGAGGATCCATATAGCAGAGCCTTGGATGTAAGGGAGGAAGTGCTTTCACATCTGGTGGACTGCTCGAAGCTTGAGCAAATTTATATACTGTCTTAACTTGTCCTTGGACCATTTCCATTGTGCAAACTGTTGTTGGAAGTGTGCCCCCCATCCCATCAGTCATAATTTGTTTGGACAGCTGATCCTGGTGGAAAGGCACCCCGTTGCAGAAGTTATGTGCCTGTGTCCACCATTGTAGGGAGATGAGGACTTTTGGGGGAGGGGAAATGCGTCTGTGGATCTGACAGCTGGCTGGTGTATACACTGAAGAGATCCAATGTTGGAAGCAACAGAAGCACAGCCTGGCATGCAGCACCACATATGTGGTAGTCACCACGTGCCCCATAAGTTTGAGGCATGTTATGATGGGTACCATTGAGTGGGTGGTAATGGTCATAATGAGATTTATATTGTCAAACTGGTGATTGGGGACATAGGCTTGAGCTGTTGTGGCATCTATACGAGTCCCTATGAACTCCAAAGATTGTGTTGGGCATACTATAGATTTCTGCTTATTGATAATGAAACCCAGCAACTGAAGAATACTCTTTGTGAATATGATCTTGCCTTTGATAATCCATTCTGAGGGACCTCAGATAAGACAATCATCTAGATAGGGGAATATTGTGATCCCATGGCATCTTAGACATGGCGCACCCACCACAAGGGTCTTGGAAAAGACTGTGGGGGCAGAGGAGAGTCTGAATGGAAGCACTCGGTATTGAAAGTGGTCTGAGGCTACCATGAATCGTAGGATGCACCAGTGTGTGGGGTGTATTGTGATGTGAAAATACACATCTTGAAAGTCGAGGGCTGCGAACCAGTGCTGAAATTATTGTGGCAAGCATGACCATTCTGAAGCATTGCCTGCGAAGGTATTTGTTTAATTGGCACAGGTCCAAGATGGGTCTCCAACCTCCTGTTCTTTTTTTTGGTGAGAAAGTAGTTTGAGTAAAACCCCCTCCCTTTGTATTTTTTGGGGACCCACTCTATGGCTCCTATTTTGAAAAGGTGTAAAATCTCCTGGTGGAGCTCAGTCTCGTGAGAGAGGTTTCTGAAGAGGGAGAGTGAGGGTGGAGAGGTTGGAGGAATTGCCATGAAAGGGATAGAATAACTATGGATGATGATTTCTAAGACCCATCGGTCTATAGTGATTGCTGCCCACTGATCATAGAAGGGGCGCAAACGGTGGTGAAATAAATTGTGCTCGCCTGGTACTGTAATTGGGGGGAAGTTGGGCAGACCCTCGACCAGATTTTCAAACTTGCTGCCT